GGAGGGTCGTGGCTATAAGTAGGGGTTAGGAGTGTGGTTTTTCTATATCTTAGATCTTTTAGATTTGTATTGAAGTGAGAGCAGCACTGAGCCCTGACAATGAGGACTTGAACATTTCTTTACCTCTCGAATCATTTGTCTTATGATTTCCTTTCGTTCCGTGGGGATGTTCATACTCCACCTTGATCACATGGTCATGTGCTGTTTTTTAACCTAAAAGTTTTCATATTATGTATACATATTCTTGAAATCAATTTTGTTTCGATAAATAATTTATATCTCAAGAAAATGCTCCCAAGTCCTATCCGTCATAAAAATCGACTCTGGCTTATCCACTTGAGGGAGGATCAAATGTAGGTTTGTAAAAGGCTCCCATCTTATACTATAGAAGTCGAGTACACCTCTAAATTCCGTGAGGAGATGTAATTCTGGTGTCGAACCTTGTGATGGCCTAAAATCTATGTTCATCCCCAATTATGAAATTCAAAATTTAAAAATAGTCAAGATCAAGCAAATCTATAAACACTTGAAAATCTAAAAAATAGACAGTTGATATAACTTGTTGCAAGATACATCATTTTTTGGATTTGAAATTTTATTCTTCGTGTTCATATATCTCAATGTCGAAACGATCATTTGGAGGGTTCTCCAACATTGGAACACAATCATCTAGATGATTTTGAGGTGCATCTTACTTCAATAGCATAAGATTGATACCTCGAATGAACCTTTTCCTTTCTTTTTTGGTATGAAAGAGTACATTTGATAAGAGATATTATTATGGTCGGAGAACAGGTTAGTAGCCATCGCAAATTAAGGTAAAAAGAAAATAATATTGAAAAGCACTTCCTATCACCTTGAAGTTGTTCTCATGGGTAAATAAAGAGCACGAAAAAAATATAATACAGATGAAGCCAAGGGAAAGTATGATGACTTTAAGGTAAAGGTACTAGATCTTCCCAATACGAGCAATGAAGTAAGTAATAGTCCTCTTAGTCGTTAAAAATGTAGAGTTACCCCGTCATTCCTTTGCAGGGGGTCATTGTTTTGGGTGCAGAAATACGGGTTAATATTAAGTAACATTGAGTTACTTACAATTGCTAACCCTAATAAAAAGCCAGTAAAATTGAGTTACTTGCTTTGACAAGTATTTACCTGTTTTTTCAAATAATTTAAGAAATAGTTAATAATTTAAGAAATAGTTTTTTTTGAAGTGTAAGTAGAGTGGTGTTAGTGAAAATAAAAACCACGATGTGGTGATTAGGGTGTGGGGTACTACCACCACAACCCCGTACCCTTTCCCTTGAGTTACTCACAATTGCTGACCCAGATAAACATATCATTTGATGCATTGTGTACCAGGCATGTGCATGGCAGCCAAATACCAATAGTCCGTCACGCATATATATTGAGAAGGCCACTCCGTTGCTGACTATCCAGCAAAATATGGGGCTACATCTTTTTGTGTGTTACACCCCCTGATTTTTTAAGCCTCTTTTAAATTTATGGTGTTGCGAAGATCCTTTTCCTAAATTGGCCGAGTTATTCTGGCCCAGGCAGTGGTCGAGCCCGACTTGTCCCAAGTTTGGGTCCAATCGGGATATTAAAAAATCATAATATTTAAAAAAATCTCAAAAAAATAAGAATTCAATTTTTAATATGTTTTTTTTATTTTTTCCTATCATTTTGGCAAAGGTTAGAAAGTAGGTTGTCATAACTACTTATTTTTATATTTTCTCATATTTTAAAAAAATTCAAAAATACCCCATGCACGAAATGATTTTTAAAAATCTATTTTTTTTGCTACTTTTTGTTTTTAAAAACCACATTTAGATGTGTTTTGTTTACTTTTGTTTTACATATATTTTTCCTCTTTTAATTTTTTTTAACTCGCAGCCCTACCCAGGCTGAGTTATTCGGATTTGGGCTGAGTACTCACCGCCGAGTAGTGGTTTCAAACATTGAATGTAACTTTATTTTGTTATTAATAAAAATGGGTAGGGGATCTTTTTTCCGCCGATTCACCCAAAATAAGAAAAAATAAAAATAAAAAAAAAAAAAATTTCCTTTGGTGCAATATAATCTAACAATAAGGGATTTAAAACTGGGAATGTGTGGCCTCAATACTGCATCATCACGATTAACTCGCTTCATGGCGTGTGGATTTGCATTCGCTACAGTTAACATTCAAAGAAGACCCCGAACGAGCTTAGCCAAATAAAAACCAGAACTCAAAAAAAACTGAAATCTTTTAATAACTTCGAGGGGTTTTCACTGGTCAAACCGATTTGATGACTGGTCAAGCAGCTAGTAGCACGGACTTTTCGCATCTGCCTGTTCGTGATGACAATTAAAATCTTATTCCCATGAGAAAGCTAATCTTCTTTTTCCAAAGCTAATTTTCCCTCTATTTACCAGACTTAAATTGATACCAGTAAAGGAATGACCTCCAACTTTTAGCTAGTTACTTGGATTAGCATGGAGCGGAAAAAGAGCCTCAATTAGAGATTCCAGACATTGCAAGTCCCACGTGAGAAGCGATAGAGCTGAGAATTTACCCACTTTGGATCTCAAACTCTAATTTCAGATCCCATCTAGATCTAGGTATAGTTCCAAGATTTGGATTTGAATAGTAATTTTGATTTGGTCCGGGTATAGGTGGATCCAATCCCCATCCAACCTAGTTATTCATATATTATATATTATTTTATATGTATACATGTATGGTATGTATACTTTTTTTTTGTTATGTATTATTTATAGGATTATGTTAGGGTGCTTACACTATGGAGTAATTTACCATTGTACTCAACAATTTTTAAACATTTTTATACCCTTGTTTTATATATTGAGCATTTTTTTAAAAATATTTTTTGTCATTAGGAAGAAGTTATGTCATCTACATGAAGTGTAACATCACCTACATGGAGCACACTAATCGCATTTAATGCTCCATGTGGGTGATGTCACCCTTATGAAGATGACATCACACCTATCCTAATGACAATCGAAAATACCTCCGCTAAAAAAATTCCATGTACAAAATAAGGGTATATAAGCGTCCAAATTTTGTTGAGTACAATGATAAATTACTCTATAGTACAAAACTAAAGATACACCTGGAAAATGTTGTTTTAATGTTGAAAAACTCTTTAATTTATTATCTCAACATCGAGATGTATGAAAATGAAAAACAAAAACAGATTTTAAGTTCCATAAATAGTGCATCTTACAACACATTATCTAGACCGTCTATTTTCAAGATATTCATATGTTTTAGATCTACTTGATTTTAACCATTTTTTTAGTTTAAAATTTTATAATTAGATATGAAAATAAACTTTAAGATAACCCTATAAATTTTTACACCAAAACTACGTGTTATAATAAAATTTGGAGGTACGCCGCAATTGGATTGTTTAAGGTTGCAACCTTATAGAAACCACGCCCTTTATATTATTTTGTAGATATAAAATATATAAAATAATTTCCTTGGATATGATCGTGTTCGGATCCAGATTTGAATCCCATGTATACTTTTTGGATTCAGATCTAGATCCAAATATTTTGGATTTGATTGGATTTAGATCTAGATCCAAATCTCATATACTTTTCGGATCCAAATCCAAATCCATCGATCTGATTCTGATCTGACCCATTCTCAGCCCTAAGAAACGACGCTGCCTCCCAATATTTTAATTTAAAGTTTTCAATCTATCAATTCTTTTAGCAAAACCTAAGGAAAGAAGGAATTTAACCAAACTATTAAACAATATTTTGCCACTTCGTGGCATTCATTCATGTTTAATAATCCATCACCATTGAATCTCAACAAGTCCAAAAGAGGACGCTACGGAAAAACTTTCTAAGCAAAACATGGGCATCAGCCAAAGCATTTTGAATAGCGAATTTAGAGAGGTAACGCATGAAGGAGTTTGAAATCCTTTTCTCTAAGACCGGATTTTGATTATTTCCCTTAAGGGGCCGTTTCGGTACCTGAAAATCTATTATATTACAATATATTACTTACGTGGCAATAGATTACTTACGTGACAATAGATTACAAGAAAATATGCATTGTTTTGACAAACTTAATCTATGCACTTTCCATAATGTTGATGACACATCTATAAAATAAATAGCTCATATCTCTCACCCCCAAGTCACTTTGATCAACGGTCCATATTCAATCTCAATAAAATGGCAAACTATGAGAAACCATAAAAAACTCTAAATCTAATTTTTCTCTATAAATAAGAATGCATCATCTCCCTATTCTCTATATTTCTCTCTCTCCCACAACTCTCTCTCCTCTCTCTCATATAAGCACACCCCACTCTCTCTCCTCTGAGTCTCTCTCTCCAACTTCTCTTTAAGCCTCTCTCTCCTAAACCTCTAGAGGACACGCTCCAACTCTAAGTCTCCCACTTTCCCTCTCGTGCTTTAAAAATACTAAGAGTTGAGAAATTAAGTGTAAGCCAAAAAAATTTTGGAGGTTAGAGTTTTTCAAGATTTAAGGGTGAAAACGCAGTTTAACCGAAATTTACTTTTTCTGTTCGAGATTGAAACTAAACCATTGATCCCACACTATCAAATATTAGTGACTCGTTGTGGAGTGTAATAAACCCGTTGTGAAGTGTAATAAGCTCGGTTGAGATAATCTTCGATACTTCTTTTTTTTTTTTTTTCTTGCTATATTTAATTATATTGATTTTATATTCAAAAGCATAAAAATTGTGGATATTTTCTTTGTTTAAAAAAAATTGGTTTAATAACATCAAAGTTTTTAAGATCTTGGATTTGATAGTTTTATTTTCTTTGAAGCAAAAATTATTGTAATAAAACTACCGGTAAGTGATCTTTGTCAAAAGAAAAAAAAATGAGTGAAAAGAAAAAAAAATTAAAAACATGTATTCCCCCGCGAAATGGCCTTAGACTTTCTTTCAATGCTGGCATAACCAAATATAGACTGATAAATGAGTAGGCGAGAAGATGACAGCTAAACTTTGTTTTCCTATAAAATTTATGTGGGTTTTGTAGCTGACATCATGATAAAAGTTCCACTCTTGCATTTGAAGTCAATGAGGCCGCATGCTGTACAGATGTCTTCTAATTCACCTTCGGATAGATAGATGTGGCTGTTTGAGAGTCCCTCTATATAATGTAAGAGAAACCTATTCTTATCAATCACAACAAGAAATGTATCCATTTTTCTGAAACTACTATGAGAGGCCTGAAAAAGAAGGAAAACAAGGGAAATAGAGACATTTTGCTTAAAGGTCATGAGATCTTCCTCCCCATTTCCTATCTTTATTTCCACAATTAAAAAAATATTTAGAAATAAATGTAAATATAACTTCACAAGGCAGTACAAGTTATAGAAAACAAGCCAAAAGCGACGAGACAAAAGTAAAAGTTATATACATGTAAAAAAAAAAAAATTCTTTACTATAGGAAACATGAGTTTCCTTGTTTTTAGTAAGTTTCCCACTAAAATTAGCCAAGTGAATTCAAAATTCGTAAAGACCCCCTAGAGAGTAACTCCCAAAGAAGTAGAGAGTAACTCCCAAAGAAGATCACGAAGAATGGGATTTTTCATTTTTATCAGCAAGAGTTCCTAAAAATGCGATGTTAATTGGGAACAAAATCGAGTATAAAGGCGGAAACCCACGACTATGAACTTATGATCTGGGCCTGGGCCTGGGCCTGGGCCTAAGCCAAAATTAGCTCTTTTGTTTTATTTTTCGAATTATACGAATAAATAAATAATTGGACTTAAACCACATACCCGGCGTCACAACTTTAAAATCTGAGGTGGAATGAAAATGTTATCAAGAATGTACGTGGTTGCGACAAATACACCCCCAGGCCTTTGAATTCGACTGATCTCTGCAACCAGTAAATGAGTAGCCCCAAAATCGTCAAAGAAAAGCATAAGATTTGCGGAAGAAAATATATGCTTATCAAAGGATAAAATAATAACTACCCATATACACATTACTATGTATATTATACACTTTCCAACGTGTCTTTCAAGGTACTCTAATTCATTAGTTTTTTAGGTAAATATGCATCTCAAAAAGAAGGGCTACTATATAATTGGAAAAATTGGCTCAAACATAGTGAAAACAGGAAAACGGGTCAAAATAGGTTAGGAAGGGCTACTATGTAATTCTGGAAAGCAGGGAAGAGTCAAATCGCAACTGCAGGTGCCCATGTAATTTTACAAAAGTGGACTACAAAAACACAAAAAAAGAATAATACGACTACAAAAATTAGGAAGCTTACCTTGTCATAAATTTAAAGGATAATAAAACCCCATACCCCATATGTCCAATAATATAGTTTATTAATATCAAAGGCCCAAATCTCATTGCCGATGTTATAAGTATAGCGAACTTGAGACCCTGCTGCTTTTATTCAACCACATTCTTCACAAACTCCCCTAAAACTATTCAGTCATGTGGGGCCATAATACATATTGTAGAAAGGACAATTTGTTCCATTCACTATTAAACTAAAATGTAGAATGTTTGACAAATGAATAACAAGTACAATAAGACCACTGAATATATATGACTAATTTGAATAAACAGTTCAATTAATATGCCGGCCACAACTTTTTGCCTACTTAGACATTCAAAAAAATCAATTGCTTAAAAATAATCACTCATTTGAATCGAATATGATTGAACGTTTATGATACATAGAGGAAGTTTTAGCTTCTATTTACTAACACTGCCACTATAAGTAGTGCTATTAACGGGTTGTGCCTGCCCAGGCCATACCCCAGCCTAAATCCATGTACCCCGGCCAGAATCGTCGTAACAAGGCTCAAAAAAAAAAAATCTTGCCAGGCCGGTGTTGAGTGTATTTTTAATCATGATACAAGACTAAATGCATCTAGAGAAATATGCAAATCTGCCCAAGGGTGTAATGCAGGTGATAAGTATTGAACAACTGCCAGATCTATATACCTTGATAGACAATGGGTCACTATACAAATCAAATGTATATGATTCTTGGAAAACATTCACGAGACATGCCCCTAGTATGATAGTGGAGTATGATGTGCCTAGGACTCGTCATATGAGGGCCCCACTATGATTTAAAAGTCCTTGCCGCATGTTAACTCATGCACCTTAGCTAACGACCAATGATAACAAAGACTATCAAGTAATCTCAATTCAAGACAAGCTATGGGGCATATATCCCCGAGGCCACAATATGCATCTCTACACAATATTAGAAGAGTTTGGATAAGGTATGATACACCTTCAAACATATCACCGATCAAATATGTGCATCTTGGCTAACAACTGGTCATAAAAGACTATCAAGCTATCTCAATTTGAGACAAACTCTAGGTCATATATCCCCAAGGCCACAATATGTCTTTCCACACAATATTGGAAGAGTTTTGGATACGGCACGATACACCTTTAAACCGGTCGTTAGTCAAATATGTGCATCTTGGCTAACAACTAGTCGTAAAAGACTATCTAGCATCTTAATTCGAGACAAGCTCTGGGTCATATATTCTCGAGGCCACAATATGCCTCTCTACACAATATTTGAAGAGTTTGATTAAGGTATGGTACGTCTTTGAATCCGCCGTCTGCCAAAGAAGGAATGTTTGACAACTAGATGATAAGGAAACATCATCATACGAAATCACATTGAGGTGTGCCCTTGCATATATGTTCAATGAGGCTTCATATGCCTCTAGCCCAATAATCATACAAGTTGGACATCATTTGGCTCATCATCTGTAATTCATCAGTAGTTACAATATGCCTTGATTGACAGCGTCAAACATGATATTCTAAGGATTGGTCCAAAACTCTTGGAAAATCATATTTGAAGCATCATATCCCTCGTCCCAAAGTTCCAAGTCCTTTGGAGATGGTTCAACCCCTCATCAATATTCATTGGTAGCTAGATCATTATATATTGTTTGCCCCACAGATAACTAGGATGACCTCTAATCACCAAATTTGATATTTCTCCTAATCTATAAGTTTTCTCATGGGACTTAGACCGTTGGATTCCTGACTCAATGCCCTATCAGCCAAATAAGTGTCCATCTTATCAATCTTTCATATAAGAGTGGCGAGCTTCGCAACAGTAACCATAAAAATATGCAAAAGTTTGACCGTCGTTGCATGATTTCTCCCAATATATGGAAAATCTTGAGCACAAATTTTGTTAAGTTGTGTGTCATTGTCCTCTCTACAAAATTATCATACTCCCATGGTCTATAATCCCATGTGGTTAGAGCAATTGAGCTCACAATCCTCAGATCTTTTGTCGCAATCTGCAGCAGAAATATGTTAACTTCGATGGGCCATATCTCCCTCATCTGTGATCCATTTAAGATGAGGTTTGAACCACTGTATTTTACTTTGATTCCTCTAGCACTCCACGAAATGTCATGGCCAAAGGATTCGTCATCAGAGAGGGGTAGTGACAATTATCGAACATGTTAGTATTGTTCTACAGACTGGTAGACGACGAATAAAGAATAACCAATTTCGTTGATTTTCTCATGGAATATTGCAATAATCTTTGCAGTTACACATTCAAATTCAAACATCAGGTCAATAACGAGATCAAACATGGAGAGGACGAAATTTACACACACCCCTTTTATATTTCCCATTTCGTACGTGATACATAAAGAGAGGAGAGATAAGAGAGTGATCACATACTCATTGCACCGGCAGTCAAAATACAGTTCCCCACTAATGTCATTTTTTATTCTATGTGAAAATCATCAAAGAGAGAAAAAAGTTGTTAATTACTTGACTCACTTGAAGCCTCAGTTCGAGAAGAAGCAGATCCGTGGACAACACCTCTATATATAGTCAGGTATACAGGTCCCTATATACCCCTCGGTATACTCTATTTGTTTGTATACTTTCTTTTAGATATGTGAATATGTAAGCTTCAAGACCCGAATCAAGGGTGTTTGACCCCGTAAAGAGGATTAATGTAAAGGGTAATAGGAATTAGAAGTCCCTGGAACTCCTCACGTACTCGCTATATATGTAAAAACCCTTCTTGTTTCCATAATATGAAACTTAGGGGCGAATTTAGCTCTAGTTGTGTTAGTTGTTTGGTTTATTTCTTTGCTAAGGAGTCAAAATATCATAAATCCCTTTCCTAACACATTTTCGTGCAACCAGCCAGGCCAGGCCGTATATATAAAGACAGGAAAAGGTTTTCAAAAAACTGTGCAAAACAAATTTCGGGCATCCCAAGGACCTTAAGAAGTGGCCCGAACCCAACATGAAAGCCCACGGGCTGGCCCAACCCATTAAAAGCTTTAATTGCAAGAATCCCACGTGTAAATTTATCTTTCCTTTTTTTTTCTATTTTCACCTTTTATTATCTATGACCCTTGTTAGTTTATTTTTCCTATTTTTTACAGCGGTGTACTTCTAAACAAAAAATATTTATGCCATATGACACAACTCTATCCAAAAATCTTTTACCCCTCACTTTACTTATCACAACCTTGTAAAGGACTTTATTGCAGATATACGGGGCAATATCGATCGAAGAATAATCATGAAATGTCCATAGTGAAAATCTACGAGATTGGAAGTAGGATAATTGACCGTAAGAAATCATTATATACAGGGTGTGGTAAGGTTGCAACCTTAAATAATCAAAGTAAGGCGCCCCTCCAAATTTTATCATAAATATAGTTTTTGTGTTAAAACTTCTTAGGATGGTTTGAGAATCTATTTTGATTTCTAATTATAAAACTTTAGACTCTAAAAATTGTTCAAAACAAGTAGATCTATAAACACATGAAAATCTTCAAAATGGATGGTCCAAATAATGTGTTGCAAGATACAATATTTTTGGGACTCAAAATTTGTTTTTACTTTCATATTCATACATCCTGATGTTGAGATGATCAATTAGAGTTTCCAACATCAAAACAACATTTTATGATGGATTTTTGAGGTGCACCTTAATTCTACATTTTAAGGTTGCAACTTTATATAAACTTTTTCCTAATATAAAAGACATCACTATATACAAATGAAAAGACTTTGTGCCCTGATGAATAAGTATAATGTTCCATCCCTTAAAAACCACTTTTGAAGTGCATGAGAGACCCTAAACGATCCATATCACTATCCTATACTCTGAAACAAACACCTCCAAAAACGTTGATATGAAGCTCCGAAAACTCAAATTTATTGCCACTGACAAACTCAAATCTAGGACATCCATTTGAATGGACAGTGGATCTAAGGGATTTGGAGCTCCAAATCAAATCTTGTTTGGAGAAGCCCCTCCAAAAACAAGCTCCTCAAAAAAATACATGGCTTAGGTTCCAAAAGTGCTCCAAATCGATTGCCAATCCAAAAATAAGGATCTAGGCCATCATTTGAATTGCCAAGCGACCTAAGGGATTCGGAGCTCCAATTCAACGCTTCTTTGGAGAAGCCACATTGAAAGAAATCTCCTTTGGAGAAAATGATAAAGGCTTAGAGCTCCGAACTATTGCCACCCGAAAATCAAGTCTGGGTCCTCCATTTGAATGGGCAATGGATTTACGAGATTTGCAGCATTTTGGAGCGCCAATTCAAAAGCTGCGTAGATAATCCACTCCAAAACGAATCTTCAAATGAGAAGAAAAAAAAAGGATTGGAGCTTTAAAAATGCTACAAATATTGCTACCCGAAAATACAATCCAAGCCATCCATTTGGAATAGAACGTGGATCTAAGGGGTTTGGAAATTTACTTGGAGCTCCAAATTAAATCATATTTGGGGGATTATGATTTGGAGGTGATTCTGGGTCCCTCACTCGCAAAAGTGGTTATTGAGATGGGGGAACATTATTGTCTAGTATTCATGAGGATATAGAAAGTTTATTTTAAAAGAAAGGAAGTCTCACAGCAGTAGAAGGTGAAAGGCAACAGTGAATTGCAGCACCGGCATGTACAGCATCAACAGAACTCGTAACAAAAGGAAGCCTAGAAATATCAGCCCTCACCAACACAAGGTTCCTGGGAAAGAGAAAAACAAGTATGCTTTAACTATTTTTGCAAAGAATGTTTACCACAAAGACACTACAAGCAAAAAGGAATGGACGCTTCATTTATTCAGGATAAGATTCCATCCATGGAAAGTACGCTACACTTCAAGTAGGTTATGGGAAACATATTGGGTCATCTCCATCCAATAAAATGATGGATGTCGACAGGGAGTGAGCAAGACAATAAAAAGACAAAGACATGATCCTGATAGTTGTCCCACAGTTTCTCCATTACCATTCACATTCTGATTTTCCCACCTGGCCCATTTAAGTAAATTACCTTCCATAAATAAATTAGAAAGCAAACCGTGAAAGAAACACATGCAACTTCTAATGCATTGTGACACATCCAATTCAGTTTATGAAGCAAAAGTAATTACCTTGTGGTAATGCTCTCCTGCTTCACAAAACCATAGCATTCTTTCAACATATTTTCTGTGAAGTCTAGAGCAACCGCCACAGAGTACATGCCATTCTTTGCGAATCTTCTTGAAAACATCCCACTTCCACAACTGGCGTCCACAATAATACCACCTAAAGTGGGCTGAAGGTATTTCGTTACCGTTTCAAACTACATCCATATCAGAAACAGGACGTTAGGACTTGAACATGTAAAAACCATGTTAACCGATATCATTTTTGCTTCAAAATGAAACTGAAGCCAGCAATAACACTCTGCATTTTCAAACTTTTATACAAGAAACATAAGAAACACCAAATAACAATGCTGAGAGCATGCAGCACTGAACAATTTATACCTCAACCATATCCACAATACTTTTTGTTTTTTTATTTTTGGCTAGTTTAGTTGGAACTTACAGACCTTTATTGAACAGTGTGGTTACACACGCACGTGCTTGTGCGTGCCCTCGCGCACACACACGCATACATGTACCCACGCACGTACGTGCACACACACACACACATATATATATATAGAAAAAGTCTTCCCAACGCTTATAAGCAAAAATGAACAGTGATTTCGCCTACTCTCATCACCGTCCAAAGTTTATCGCACAGCCACGATTGTCCGGTAGTGTTTTATTTTTTCATTTTTTTTTTCTCTAAATCGGAATGACTTGAAATTTAGAGCGTTTGTAAATATTAGTGAGATCTTAGTGAGGCGCACCTAATAAAAATATAAAAAAAATAATTTGCTAAAAACAAATTGACCAAAATACATCCGAAATATTTCGGGGGTATTTTGGTCAAATTTTTAATGTAAAATATTTTTCTGATATTTTTCGTAGATTCGCTATTTTTGATGAACACACGCTCCAAATTTCAATACATTCCGAATTGTAAAAAAACAATTAAAAATAAAACACTACCAGACAATAGTGACTGTACGATGAACTTTGAACGGTGATGAGGGTAGGCGAAATCACAGTTCATTTTTGCCTCTAGGTGTTTTGTAGTATCTTTCATATATATATATATATATATATATATATATATATATATA